TCTGTTATGATTAAACCAGAAGTAGAAGCAGGAAGGAAGAAGATGGAGAAATTTTTAAAAAGAGGAAACAGTGGTTATGTCATGTCTGACGAGGGAGATGACAGTCGTCCTATTCTGGATGCAAATAGGGATGAGTTCACAGAGGATGCTAGGCGTAAAGTTATTTCTTGGCTGAATTATGGGCAGAACGGTGGAGTGAATGGAGTCAGTGGGGGACATGTCCAATCGGGTAAGTTGCTGCTACTAGGGAGGTTTGTGAACTATTGGGGATCACCTTCAAAGGGGGGCAGAAATTATTAGAGGAGGAGATTTTTAAGATGGAGATGAAGGGGTCTTCAAGGAGATCCTGAAGGTTTTTCGGGTTGGTACGGGAATTTAGAATTTGCATTTCAAATGTCAAAGATAAAAGTGATCACATGGAATATTAGAGGTCTTGGGAGAAGAGAGAAAATAGAGCAGTGGACAGACTTGTTAATAGGGAGAAGCCGTTCATGTTATTTTTACAGGAATCAAAACTGAATGTTTGCAATAGTGGTCTATGGAGGAGGTTAGGGGGTAATCTATTGAAAGGTCATATCTTTATTCCAGTTGAGGGTTCTGCAGGTGGTTTGATAAGTTTGTGGAATGAGGATTTTTTTGTGGTTAGTGCAGAATATAACCAGAGCAGATTCATAGCATTAACAGGGAAGTTAAAGTTGTACAACTTTGATTGTGTTATAATTAATGTTTATGGTCCGCAGTAGAGGAGGATAAAGAGGAATTCTTTAGGGAGCTATTGTGTTTTGTACAGAGTTTGAATCTGCCAGTTTGCATAGGGGGGATTTTAATGCTTATTTGGATACAGAGGAGAAGTGTGGAGTTGCACAAAATTGGCATTCCTTGGATTTGTTTAGATCCTTTGTTCAACAATTGAATCTTATGGATTTACCGTTAGTTGGGGGAAGATACACTTGGTGCAATAATAGAGAGTCTCCGACTTGGGTAAGGTTGGATCGGTTTATATTTAGTGGTTCATTCCTAAATCAGTTTCCTAACGTGGTCCAGAAAATCCTTCCCAAATCCATTTCGGGCCATAATCCCGTTATGTTAGTAGAAGAATGTAACAATTGGGGACCTAAGCCTTTTCGATTATTCAACTACTTGCTAGAGGAAGAAGGGTTTGTGGAGTTGGTCGAAAATTCATTGTCTAATGCGAAGAATACTAATGGTCGAGGGGGTTTATTTACTTTACTTCGAGGAACTAAACAAAATATCAAGAATAGGCCAAATTCGACTCTCAAGGGGATTTTGAAGATATTTCTCAGCTAGAAAGTAAGATAAATGGTCTGGAATTGAAGCTACAAGGAGGAGGGATTTCCATCCAAGAACGGGATTTGTTGATTCTGTCTAGGAACGAGCTGTGGAAGTTGCACAGGAAGGAAGAGAGTATTTGGTTACAAAGATCAAGACTGAAGTGGAATACGGAAGGGGATAAGAATACGAGGTTTTTCCATTTAACAGCTACTAAGAGAAACAGAATGAAGGCAATTTCGGCTTTGAAAGTGGCTGATGAAGAGATTTCTGATCCGGATAGGCTGAAAAACTGTCTGAGTATTTTAAGCAGAATTACAGTTCACAAGCTACGCTAGAGGTAGAGGACATTAATCTTAATTTTGTAAAATTATCAGAGGAGCAGAAGAGTGGTCTGGAGGAGGAGTTTTCAGAACAAGAAGTTTGGGAAGCAGTGTTTCATTCGGACAGTTCTAAAGCCCCGGGTCTAGACGGTTTCACGATGGGTTTTTTTAAGAAATTCTGGCCTATTATGAAAGACCATCTTTTGAAGTGTGTGGATGACTTTCACAGAGGAAGGAGTTGGGAGCATGGGGTCAATCATGCTTTTATTACATTGATCCCTAAGAAATTAAATCCTGAAGGCATTGAAGATTACAAACCTACAAGTCTAGTTGGTAGCATGTACAAAATTATTTCCAAAATCTTATCATCGAGAAGGCTGGTTTCGGTGATTAAAGATTTGATCAGGCCATCGCAGTTCGCCTTTATTCCAGGTAGGCAGCTGTTGGATTGTGCTTTTATGGCCAATGAATCTATTGATTATTGGAGGAAAAGAAGGAAATAAGTGGTTTTTAAAGTCAATTTTCATAGAGCTATGATTCAGTGGAATGGCCAATTATTCAGAGATTATTGAAGGTAATGGGTTTTGGGGACAAATGGATCTCTTGGATGGAATATTGTATTTCTTCTGCTTCAATATCGGTTCTAGTTAATGGATCTCCTACACCAGAATTTCAGATGGGTAAGGGGTTGAGACAAGGTTGTAGTTTGTCCCCTCTTTTGTTCAACATTGTTGGCAAGCTCTTAAATCTAATGTTGAGTAAGGCTGCTGTTCTTGGCCTTTTCGAAGGGTTCAGTATTGGTAACGCTGGGAATCTCTTTAATTTGACACATCTCCAGTTTGCAGACGATCTAATCATATTCTGCAAAAACTCCTCTACCCAAATTCTTAATATTAAGAGAGTTTTGAGGGTGTTCAGTTTAATTACAGGGCTTCATCTTAACCTGTCCAAGAGTAAACTGCTTGGGATTAATATGGCAGAAGACAGTTTACAAGAATTTGCACTAGAAGCTGGTTATGGGGTTGGATCTTTTCCTATGACTTATCTAGGTATACCGATTGGAGCAAATAAAAATTCTGAGCTATTATAGGAGCCCATTTTACAGAAAGTATACACGAGATTAGCAGGTTGGAAAGTAGATTCCCTATCGATGGCTGGAAGATTGGTGTTGGTAAAATCGGTGTTGTCATCCTTACCTATTTTCTACCTCTCTATTTTTAAGATTCCGGTGAAGGTAAATCAGAAACTAAATTCAGCAATGGCCATATTTCTTTGGGGTGAAGTTTCAGACAAGAAAAGGGTTCATTGGGTGAATTGGAATACGGTATGTCAACTATTTAAAGAAGGTGGCTTAGGAGTTTTGGACTTGAGTTTGGTTAATAGAGTTTTGCTTGGGAAATGGGTTTGGAAGTATGCAAATGAGAAAGACTCTCAATGGAAAAAGTTAATTTGCTGTACGCATAATGTCAGTACGTTATCTTTGTCAATAGGCAAAGCTGTTTCTCCTCAAGATTCTTGGTTATGGAGAGGGATTCTGAGTAATTATGAGAAAAAAGATGAGATTGGAGTGTTTGAGGTCCAATTCGAAGATACAAGTGGGGAATGGTAGGTCAATTGAGTTTTGGAATGATATTTGGGTCAATGGATCTTCTCTAAAGATTCAATTCCCTAGGATTTTTGCCCTTTCGACTAATAAAAGGGGTAAAGTGGCTGAATTTGGTGCATTTGAAATTAATGGTTGGGTTTGGAATATTTAGCTAAGGAGAAATCTGTGTGACTGGGAGTTTGAGCAATGGTGTGCCTTAATGTGTTTGATTTAGAACATTGTCTTGAATGAATCTGTGGAGGATTTTCTGGCTTGGTCGGGGAAAGGCGACGGCTTGTATTCGGCAAAATCGGGTAGACTGACTATTTCAAGCAGAATGGGAACTTTTCAGTGGAAGAAATGGGTGTGGTCTGGAATGGCTCCTCCTAGAGTGGAAACATTTCTATGGCAGATTACTCATCAGAAATTGGCGGTTAGAGTGGAATTAAAGAAAAGAGGATTACGAAAGAAGACGTTTTGTGTCCTTTATGTCATAAATATGAGGAAACAATCCATCATATGTTTATTTCTTGCTCGGTTGTAGAGGAGTTGTGGTATAAATTTCTAAGATTGTGGGATATCTCTTCAGTTATGTCCCAAGAACCTTATTCCCTTCTTTGTTCGTGGTCTTATCTAAGGGAGCATTCTACTATTTGGAAGTTTATTCTAGGAGTCGTTCTATGGTCTTTATGGAAAGCTAGGAACTCAGTGGTGTTTGAAAGCTGGAAACTAGACTCTTCATCTCTGTTCTTCATTTCTAGGTTTAGATTAGCTAAATGGTTTTTAGCGAAATTCCCTCATGATAATATTCAGATTGACCTACTAGTAGGGGATCCAAAGGTGGCAGATAGATTTCCTACTATATCCTATAAATCGAAGAAGGCTATCTACTGGTCTCCACCTCCTACTGATTTCTTTAAATTCAATGTTGATGGAGCAGTGAGAGGTGATGGGTTGCAGGGTGGAATTGGTGGAGTCTTGAAAGATTCGAATTGCTACATTTTAAACTCTTTTTCTATAGCGGTGGGTCCTGGTCCTCCTATGTTAGCTAATCTGAAAGCTATTAAACAAGGAATTGATTTATTCCTTTCTTCTGAATGGGCTTCGAAGGGTAGACTAATCCTAGAGAGTGATTGTAAAACAACAGTTGATTGGATTTTGTTACCAGTTTCTGCCCCTACGTTTTTCAGTACTTTTGGTTGGGGAAAATGGGACCTTAGTTTCTGCTAGGGGTATTATTGTTAGATGGATTCCTAGGAGTTGCAATTCGAAGGCAGACAAGTTAGCTAAGGAGGGGATTGGTTGATGTTTATAGCTTTATGGTTGGTTTGGTTTGTATTTTATTTCGGGAAGTTTATTATGTAAGATGTAAGATTATGTAATTCTGGTTTATTAATAAGATGAGGTACTCTTTTCCTCCTTCCAATGTTGCCTCTTCCACAAGAGCCAACTAAGAAGGAGGTTTTTAATGAGACCTCCTATTCCTATAAAAAATAAATAAATCATGAGGTACTCTTTTCCTCATTCCAATTTTCGTTGACATACGGTTTAGTATGTTGATGATTATGAAGGGGGTTTTTAACGAGGCCTCCAATTCTTATTAAGAAAAAAGTTATGTTAGCTAGGCTTGATTATTCACCCTCACAGCAGCATTTCATTTTTTTAAAAATGTAAGTTGATTTGTTTTTGTTTGGAAAATTGTTAGAGACGGAGAAGCTTTACTTTTGGATGCTTTCATTTATGTTTTGCTTCAATTTTCTTTGAACAGAAATGTAATAACAATTTTCACAATGCTATTACAGGTGCTACATGAAATAGAAGAGAAAGCAGTAGTCATTATGGATGAAAGAGGTAAAATGCTAGTTCTTGGTTGATGATTTGTATTTATAATTTGGTGATGAGTGCTTCTATTACATTATGGAATTTGTTCTATCTGTTCCCTTCTTTGTTTGACAACGTGCTGGATTATCTAGGTTAGTTATGAAGATGTAGATGGTAGCACTGAAATATAAAATTCTGCTTTCTAGATTTGAAACTCTCCTTCCACTTAGCTAATGTTGTTTCTGGGTCACATGTTACTTGCAATACATGCAGTCTATGGATGAGTCTAGGCTAATATTTTTTTTCTAGCTAAGTCATGACAATGCATGCAGTCTATGGATGAGTCATGGCAACATCCTGCAATCTTTTAAAAGAGTTTTTAAATGTCCTTTCCATAAAGGAGTTGATTTGCCTTGATTTTTTGTGCAGCGGAACATGAAAGAATGCTTGAGGCATATAATTTAATCAACCAGAAATTGCAGAATTTTATGTCAGAACGCTCAAATCTAGAGAAAACAATACAGGAATTAAAGGTATGTGAATTTTTTCCCTTCCAAGAACATATATGCCTTCATTTGTTGCCTGCTTTTGTCATTATTATAGATGGTATGTTCAGGCTGATTTGAGGAGGCGTGAAAGAGACAATTACCTGGCTCAAAAGGAGATTGCTGATCTTCAAAAGCAGGTAAAGGAAAAAGTGCCCTTATTTTGATGCTTAAGCTGCAGTTAATTTTCTCTTCAACATTTAAGATAGAAATTAATGCTCATAAGGAGGATTTATTCTCGTCTCCAAAAAATGGTTTTCCTTTTCTCTCTCTTGTCCCGAGTTTTATTTTTCTTTATTCTCTTCTATCACCTCTTCCACACCTATTTTTCCTCTATTTTCTTTTCTTTCTTGACATTTTATTCCCAGTGTTCACTTCTATTTGTCTATAAAACTATATTCTAGAGGTTGGAAATTTGCAACTACCATATATTTTCAGGATGATTGTGTGTTTGATTTGTTATAAATTTTTACACATTCTTGATGTGTGGATTCAGTGTTGGCCGTCTGTTGTGATGCACACATCATTTTTTGTATCTGAATTTTCAAAACAGAAAGTTGGCTTGAGATTATGTCTATGATGAAAGATGAAATCTTTGTTTGTGTATGTGACATGTAGTTGTGTCAAGAAAGGTCTAGGGATGTCAGTATGGATCTTTTGACCCACTAATCCTCTTTTTACTGGATGATAATACTCTAGGTGACAGTTCTTCTTAAGGAATGTCGTGACGTACAACTACGCTGTGCACCTGTTGGGCATGATTTTCCTAGTGATGATGCAACTGCTGCTCCTGCTGATATGAGGCTGCAGCCCAATGCTGACATAGTTATATCAGAAGTAAATATCAACTTGAAACTTTTGCTAATTTGTCTTCCTTTTTCAGAATATCTTCTTCTCCTCAACATGCTCTCCCCAACCGAAAAAATGTGCTCTCTCATATTTATCTATATGTTTTTTTGGATAGTTGACATTCAAGGATATAAATGGGTTAGTTGAGCAGAATGTCCAACTTAGGAGCCTTGTCCGTGATCTTTCTGACCAGATAGAAAGTAAAGAGACGGAGTTCAAGGTAATTAAATTTTCTTATCATTCTGCTGAGATATCGGTTTGTTTAGTTGATATACAGTAGTCAGGTAAAGAGATATATAATATGGAAGTTTCAAGGGAACATCAGAGATAGAAGGAATTAGACTGAATCAAGGAAAAGATAGAATAAGAGAAGGCTTAGGGGAGAAATGAGAAAGAAGTGATAGATATAGAAAAAGAACAGTACTTAAATGTTTGTTGGTCAAATACCCACCATCCAGAACCTAACCAAAACCTTGAATATCATTGTACTTGTAAGCTGTATTTAGAACCTATTACATGGATACCAAAATAACCTTAAAAAAGATGACAAGTAAAGGTTATTATTATCCATCTTTGGTTCACAGACAAGAAAAAACTATTTGTTAGGTAGCTGTGGTTGAATATATGGGACTGCAGGAAAAACTGGAATTGGAGCTCAAAAAACAAGCTGATGAAGCTGCATCTAAAGTTGCAGCAGTGTTACGGAGAGCTGAAGAGCAGGGGTGCATGATTGAATCACTGCATACCTCTGTGAGTCTCTCTATGGCCTTTTATTCTCTGATCCTTTTCTTCTTGAGCGTTCTTCTAGTTTTTCTTTAGTTGATGCTTGTTTTTCAATCATTTTTCTATCGCATAGGTTGCAATGTACAAGAAGTTATATGAGGAGGAACATAAGCTTCATCAGTCTTATTCCCCTGCAGCAGAAGCAGCTCCAGGTTCTGTTTCTGTCCATTTTGTAATGTTTTTTATTCAGTTGGACTATTGTTTGATTGATATTGCTGTTTGAATTGTACTTAGTCCGTGAGTGAACGATAATAGGAGATTTGTAGTCAGAGTGACGGTGATTTATCTAGTAGTTTATGTTTTAGTTAATCTCAATTGCCTAAGAGGATTTTATGTTATGGATGGTGGGTGTCTGTTAACTTTGTAGATGAACAAGTTGGTTATATGCTTGCTAGTGGTATCAGTTCCCCTAATCAGAACTCGGTGCTAATTGGTTAAACTTATCTTTTGTTGTTAATTTTCATTTTTCTTCATTGGAAAACTGATGCATTATCTTGTAGAAGGGGTTGTGGCATGTCTATAGACTTGGATTTTGAATTTGTATGTAGTACCTTCTGTAGGTATAACTTGCTGCAGTGGTTAACATGACAAAACTGCTATACAAATTTCATATTCTGCCATTTGAGGGTTTTATTACTGGACTGTGTACAAGGTACACTTGAATTTATTTAAATCTAGAATGAGTGGTTTCTTTTATGTTTCTTTTGCACATGCTAAACATGCAGCCATCTTTAATTGTTTGTTAGGCTTGTAACAAGAGGGGAAATAATAAAATTGAAGGATACCCGCTTTTACTGTGGCAAACTTGATTGCTTATATAATAATCTAATGGTCAGATTGACTTGGTTGAGTTATTGTTTTACTTTCTGTTTTTGCGTTCTTTTTTGCTTTGCACTATTTTTCAATGGTCAAATGCTTGACTGTTTTCTTTCTTTCTTTTCTATTTTGAAAATTTGTTTATTTATACAACTAACATTTAGAAATAAATACATTATTGCAGATACTGGGAGGAGGGATCTCTTGCTTCTTCTCGAAGGTTCTCAGGTATCAATCTTGGTTCTATTTCTGCTGTGCTGCAAAGAATGGATACTGTTTCATACCTTGTGTATTTGTGTCGGATATGTATGACATAGACCTATCCAAGGGCTGGACATCTATCTGCCCAAGTCTGAAGTCTTTTCTGATTTATGAGAGGGTTTGAACAAAAATATTAGGCTAGGAAAAAAAATTAAGCTCAATCAAAATATGGTGGGCTTGGTCTCCAACATACAAAGCCCGTATCTGGTTCTTTCTATTTTCCAATATTATCATAGAAGAGAGAGGGAGAGTGGTTTGGCGTGTGAGTCTCCATCAGGAAATTTCAGCCTTGGGAAGAAAATGTTTATAAAGTGGATGGAATTTGGTTATAACATGGGTTGGGTGAGATGGGTTTTTGATTGGATGGTCTTTCCATTTATTTGTAACAAGTTTATTAGATTATTGGGTGAAATTAATTCATAATATCCAATACAAGTATAAAATTACCTTGAATTTTTAATTAAAAATTTTGTTAAAAGTAAATTATATATGATTTTAATATATATTTATAATTTTTAATTCAAAAATAATAAAATTCAATAATATAAATACATATTTATATTTATATATATTTTTTATTTTTTAACCTGCCTCATGCTTATGCCTTTTAAAAAATATAATCTGTCATATTTGTTGTGTCATACCCGTGTCTTGTTTCTTTTTCCATGCTTCCTACCCGTCTTGTTGGGAAGATGAGTATGCATGTTTGTTTTTAGTTTCTGTTAAGTCACATTTTGTATCATGTTTCATAAACAGGAAGCTAGTAAGAAAGCTCAAGATAAAGCTACTGAACGTTTAAGATGCCTTGAAGAGGATCTAGCTAAGGCCAGGTACGTTATTGTTATATTTATTCCGGACTAATATGAACCTTTAATAGGAACTTTTGGGGATTTTTCTGTAAAGTAGGTCCATTTAATACAGTCAAACCAGTGTTGTCAGGAGATCATTGTCTTTTAGGATTAGGGATCCTGGGAGGTTTTCTAACTGAGATATAGTTAACTAACGCAGATAATTTCCAGCATATTTCTTTATGATTGTACGACACAATTAACTTTAGATGTGACTCCTAGAGAACCCTTGGTTGGTTGAAGTTTAGTGGTTTTTAAGTCTTATGCTTTCTGGGAAGGTTTATTTTGTTGTAGAGTGGGTAATGTACTTTTATTCTGTTTAATAAAATTATAGGCGCTCTTTTCCTCCTTTCATTACTCTTCATGTTATTTTCATAACATGGAGGGTAAAAAGGAGGTTTTTTATGAGGCCTCATCTTCTATAAAAAATATATATTAGAATAACCACAAATCATAGCATCCTAGTTATCACATATGTCAATTGGCTGCTTAATTTGTTTGATTTGTTTGATATTTGTCACTCTCTTGAAGTTGGGGATCAATATGTATTTTAGTGTATGTCATTATTGCACTTGCCTAATGTTTTTTTTTATAGAAGTTGGAGGTCTCATTAAAAACTCCCTTCGTATTCGTTCACATACTTAGATGTATGTTAACGAATATTGGAAGGAAGAAAAGAGTACCTCATATTTTATTAATAATAATAATACCTAATACAAAAAACAACACGGAAAAACCTCCTATGGTGATATACACCATTACAACAAACACCTTAAACTCTTAAATCCTCATCCAAAGCCAAAGTCGAATCACCTTAAATCTAATTACATCTCCATCAATAGGATAAAAAACGACGCAAAAGAACATAATACAAAAGAAAAGCAACACCATCAACCATATAAGCTAAATCAAAGCCACAAATGGAGAGACGAGATCTACTGAGATTCGTCCTCTTCAGGAGCCCAAGAGTTTGGTTTGAATGAAGGTTTTATCTCATGCACCATGATCTTGAAGGAGTTGTCACCAACCTTCAATTCCATCGTCGCATCAATTCTCGCCTCAGCCTTTGTGAGGACTTGAATTTTTGCCCGATCAAAGGATGATGGTGATTGACAGCTTTCGTCGATAGCTAGTAAATGACCCCACTTATCAGCAATGTTCTTAAAAGTATCCCAATTCCATGAGTGAAAAGGAACACCCTCGCAAACTAATCATATTCGACGACACTCCATTACCAAACTCTCTGACCAAGCTTCAAATATAGAGAACCACTTTGCGAGAGTCTCTAATTTATACACTTCTCATCGAAGCAGAGTCTTCGAAAACCATTAAAACCGCATTTCCAGCAGCTCTCATTAAGGATAAGCCAGAGAGGCCCTTCTCATGCATTTGTCTAGCGAGATGACCAATTTTAATAAACTCCTTGCACCACCCCACTAGACAATTGCTCAACACTTGAAGTTTTTCTTCATCTATAACGCCTTCAACTTCATAAAGATCCTTCCTTCCTCGTATCATCTTCCATCCCGCACTTGCCTAATGTTAACTTTGGGTTAGTTCAAATAAGTAGACAATTCATTTTCTTTTAACTTTATTGTAAAGCTACTTATCTTGTTTAAATGTATCGATTAAATACATTATTTGATTTACTTAGTTTCGAGAAGTTATTTTCTTGAAGTTCCTATTGAATGTATCTGCTAAATACATTCTTTTGGATCGCTTAGTTTTGAAAGGTTTTTTCTTGCTTGAAGTTCTTATCCTTGCTTTTCTATGGTATTAATGGAATCACATTGGACCAGACTCTTTCTTTTGCATCTAGTAAGTTTAATAGCTGCTTGTTTATGGCAACTTTTGTACCTCTGCATTATTGTAGTGTTACAGAATTGCTGCAAATTCTTGTAGCAGAATTCAGTGTTAGATTATTTAGGTTGTATACTTTTGATTGAATATACCGCAAAAGTCACCTTTTCTAATTCCCTTTTTCCTTGCTCGTTGAAGCATCTGCTTGTTAACTTCTTTGTTGTATTTGATTGATAGGGGTGATATTATAGGTTTACGGTCAGAGCGTGACAAGTTGGCTCTTGAAGCAAATTTTACAAAAGAAAAACTTGAAAGTGTCATGAAAGAAGCTGCACATGAGGTGATTAGTTTCAGCATGCCCTTTATTTCCCATTTTCTACTATTTATAATTATGCTTTAGTATTTCTTTAGTTGTTGTTGAAGTTCAATGTTCTATTGGGAAAGTACACCTTTCAAGATGAGTGAGAGAGATAGAAACGTAGAGAGAGAAAAATTGAAAGGAAAGTTTTCTTCCGAGAAAGTTTGGTCGGCGTTCATCGATAATCTAAGTAGAAGAGTGTCTCGACGAAAGTTAAGGGAGTTCTCAACTCAGGGTTCGGTAGTCAGAGTGTTCATTCCTAAAGAAACAAGGAATCCGAAATACAAATTCTCCACATTTGCCTTTGTTCATTTTGGTAACGAGGAAAGTCTAAAATGGGCTATTAACAAGCTGAATGGTTCATTGATTGATGGTTGGAGAATTACAGTTGGTGCTGCACGATACAAGGAAGTCATATGAGGTCAGCAGGGCAGAATAGCTCACTGGAGATGACTTTAAAGCAGGTCTCAGTTGATACTTCAAGGTCAAAAGAGAAAGTTGATATTAACAGAAGTTAAGGGATGAAAGATCTTACAGGGATGCCTTATTGTCTAATAGATTGAAGAGTAATGTATCGGATCAAAGGGAAATGGCATTTGAAGGTTTCAACAGGAGGAAAGGAATAAAAAATATTTGGGAAATGCATATTCCTTCAGAGAGCTCCAGTTGGGTGAAGAGGTCATTAACGGGGATTATTAAACATTCTTTTGAGTTAGAATTAGTCCATAAGTCTCTAGTTAATGAAGGCCTTGAAGTTCAGATTGCCAGATGGGGTTACGTTTGGAATTCATGTGTTGTAACCTTTAAGTCGGATGAAGAAATGTTGGATGCATGGTCGACGAAAAAAGATGAATTACTTTTCTGGTTCGATAGGTTGGCACCTTTATTGAATGATGATGGCATTCCAATGGCTTTTGCCTCATAGAACTATTTGGGGTTCCATTATTATGCTGGCAAAACACCTTCTTGGAACTTTTAGCAGGGAGGTGGGGAATGGTGGAAGATATCCATGAAGATACAAAAAACAAAGAAGACCTCTCCACGGTGAAGATTTTGATCAGGGTGGAGAGCCCTTATGATGTCCCTGAGGTGATAACACTTGGAGCTTATGGAAGATCTTATACAGTTAAGATTAAGCGGGGTTCGATGCTCGAGTATAATTCAGAGTTTTCTAGCAAATCTCCGGTGGGAGGTTCCAATGAAATTCAAATTGGTGAGAAGATTGCTGGAGAGGAAGCTGACAGGAGTGTGTCAGAAACTATGGAAAGTGTAACATTTAGAAGAACACAGCAGAGAAAAGGTAGACTTATGGTTTGACAAAGGAGCTTATACGAGTTTGGTTGGAGTAGGTGGGGAAAATCATATCCCAATGCTTAACAGAGATGGGAAAAGCATTAATTGTGAGGTGTCAGACTGCCAGGATATTGGGAGACAATTTGGGTGATTATGCCGGTTTGGGATGCAGAGTCTTTTAATTTTTCGCTGATGGGTCTGAAGCCCAGTCAGCAGAAAGTGGGCAGCCTGGTTCTACAGATTTTAAAATAATTCCAGCTGGGCTAGTTATTAAATTGAATAGTTTTGGGAGAATGGACCAGAACCAATTTATAGTTCAATCTGTCAACATGGAGGAAGCAAATAATGGAGGTATATCTCATTCCAGTTTGATGCTGCGTAGTGGGGGAGTAGAGTTAACAGCAACAACTAAGATGATTGACTCTAATGCACATGCTGGAAAAATGATTTCTAGGGGAAGATCGCTTCATCGATCTAATTTATCTTTAACTACTAGGAGTGAGCCGTTGGAAAGGAGAAGAACGGTTAGTTATAAAAAGGTGTATTCGAGATCAAGGGAGAGAAGACAATGGCCATTACCTACAGAAGAGGAATCCTTAGAAAAGCTAAAGGGTAAGGACTTGGTGCTAAATTCAGTTTTGCCAGTCAGTCCAGTAGCAGATTTATGGATGGTTGTGTGGAGTCTACTGTGGAGAGGCATGTTGCTGATAGTAGTTTGGGTAATATGTGTGAAGAGTGGTTTTCAGAAGGTGATGATTCTGATTTCAATTCCATTACATTTATTCGAAGAGCCAAAAGATTTTTGATAAGGGAGGCATTGGATCAGGCTAGCACTTCAACAGTTTCTTCTCTAGATTTTTCAGTTCTATTGGAGGAAGCCTTAGCTACTTGGGAAGTCAGTAAGCTTTTGGGGGTGTCTTTCAAGGAAGGGAAGTCAACTTTTTTGGAAAAAATTATAAACTTGGAGGAAGATTTGGGGCTGGTTTGAGCTTCGATTTTCTTGGCAGTTCTTGTTTTTTAATTTTTTGATGATTAACATGGAACGTTCGGGGATTGGGAAGAAAGGAAAAACAAAGATCTGTTTAAAATTTAGTTTTAAAGAAACGCCCTATTTTTCTTTTGCTTCAAGAAATGAAAATGGAGAAGATTCAGAGGCATTTTTTGAGGAGTGGTTTGAATACCCTTAAAGGGTTTACAGAATCTCTAGCAGTGTGTTCTTCTGGAGGTTTATTGAGTTGTTGGGATGAGGGCAAGTTTGAAGTGGAAAATCATGTTTTAAACAGAAGGTTCATTGCTACTTTTGGGAAATTTCAAACTTCACAACTTAGGTGTGGTTTTATCAATGTTTACGGTCCTACTGTTGAAGAAGAAAAAGCTTGCTTTTTTGAAGAGTTAGCTGTTTTTATTTGTGGTCAGAGCATTCCTCTTTGTGTGGGAGGTGATTTTAATGTGCATCTTTCAGAAGAAGAGAAGATTGGAAGAGCCCAAAACAGAAATTCAATAAGAATTTTCAGTTATTTTATCCAATAGACAGGTTTAATTGATTTACCTCTACATGGGGGTAGTTTCACATGGTGTAGCAATCAGGATATACCCACCTTTGTTAGACTGGACAGGTTCCTAGTTGATGTCCATTTTTTGGAAGCCTTTCCTGAAACTATACAGTATTGTTACCTAAGGCTGTATCAGATCACAATGCCATTTTTCTTGAGAACGGTGGAGTTAGTTGGGGTAAAAAATCATTCAGGTTATTTAGTTATTTGATGGATGAAGAAGGTTTTCAGAATTTAGTTGGCTCTACTGTACAAAATTGCAAGAGTAAACACAACAGAGCTGGAATTTTTTCTATCCTGAAATCTACCAAATTGGCGATCAAGGAATGGGCGGGGAATAGAGATCAATACCCAGCTATAGAAATTGCAGAATTAGAAAGGAATATCCACTTAGCAGAGGAAAATTTCCAGCAAACGCAAGACTCTAATGGTTGTGAAAAAGCAGCAGAATTGAGGACTATGAGAATATAATTATGGAATTTAAAATGGAACAGATATGGAAAAGAGGTGAAACAAGATTTTTCCATGCATGTGCTTCAGTCAGGAGAAAGAGGAATTTTATGAGTGTTCTAAATATCAATGGCGAGATTATTCAAGATCCAGCTATCATCAAAACTACTGTTAAGGACCATTTTTTTGGAATCTATAATTCTAAGTCTACCTTGGAAGTTGAAGATTTGAAGCTGAATTTTTCCAGAATTTCTGTGGAGCAAAGTGTGTTTCTGGAAAAAGAATTTACAGAGGAAGAAATTTGGGAAACTCTTCAATCGTGTGATAGTAACAAAGCTCCCGGACCGGATGGATTAAATATGGGCTTTTTAAGAGATTTTGGTCTATTCTAAAGGTAGATATTATGAAATTTTTTCATAATTTCTATATGGGGAAAGATTGGGAACATGGAGTCAATCATACTTTCATTACTCTTATTCCCAAGGTGTATATTGGTGGATTAGATGATTTTAGACCCATAAGCCTTGTAGGAGGGTTGTACAAGATCCTTTCAAAATGTCTTTCATGGAGATTAAGGAATTGTATTACTGGTTTGATCAGCCCAACGCAGTTTGCATTTATTCCAGGTCGTCAAATACTGGATTGCTCTCTTATAGCTAATGAGGGAGTTGACTTTTGGAGGAAAAAAGGGCTTAAAGGATGTGTGTTTAAAGTGGACTTCAGAAAGGCCTATGATATTGTGGATTGGTCTATTCTTTTTACGGTTATGGAGAAAATGGGATTTGGCTTCAAATAGAGGAGTTGGATCAGAAAATGTGTAACAACAACCTCAATTTCAGTTTTGATTAATGGGGTCCCTTCTCAGGAATTCCCTATGGCAAGGGGTCTCCGTCAGGGCTGGTCTCTATCTCCTATGCTTTTCAACTTGGTTGGGGAACTTCTAAACTTACTGCTTTTAAAAACAGTATCTGAGGGACTGTTTTCTGGACTGCAATTTGGAAGAAATGAGACGGCTTTTAATTTATCTCATCTGCAATTTGCAGATGACTTAATTATTTTCTGTGGAGCTTCGAAGAATCAGATTTTAAATGTTAAGAGGGTCCTAAGAGTGTTTGAACTTATTTCTGGCCTTCAATTGAATTTGAAGAAAAGCAGATATTTGGTGTTAATACGACTGCGGAGGAGGTTGAGGAGTGGGCCTCGTCTATTGGTTGTGCAGTGGGAATTTCCATGGCCTTCAATTGAATTTGAAGAAAAGCAGATATTTGGTGTTAATACGACTGCGGAGGAGGTTGAGGAGTGGGCCTCGTCTATTGGTTGTGCAGTGGGAATTTCCATGGTGTTAATACGACTGCGGAGGAGGTTGAGGAGTGGGCCTCGTCTATTGGTTGTGCAGTTGGGAATTTTCCATCTGAATATCTAGGCTTGCCTCTCGGTGCATCTAGGAATTCTTTCTCTTTGGGATCAGGTGGTTTTACAATTTAACAAGAAGCTTGCAGGTTGGAAATCTAACACTCTTTCATTGGCAGGGAGGTTAGTCTTGATTAAATCGGTTCTTTGTTCACTTCCAACCTACTATTTATCTCTTTTTAAAATTCCTTCCTCGGTTAATTCCAAACTCAATTCCATAATGTCTAAATTCTTATGGGGAGGTGGAACGGATAAAAACAAGATTCATTGGGTCAGCTGGCCCAATGTGTGCAAATCTAAGGAGGAGGGAGGTTTGGGAGTGTTGAATATTATTAATATGAACAGAGCTTTACTGGGGAAATGGTCTTGGAGGTTTGCTAATGAAAGGAATGTTGTTTGGAGGAGGTTGATATGCTCAAAATACAATTTGGATCCCTACTCTTTACTGTTCAATAACAAGATACCAGCTCAATCCTCTTGGATTTGGAGTTCAGTGGTTAATTCTCATTTTAAAGAAGACTCATTTGGCTCAAAATTTCGAAGTAAGTGCAGAATTCAAGTTGGTTGTGGTCAGTTTATTTGTTTTTGGCAGGACAAATGGGCAATGGACTGCCCTCTTAAGGTCTCTTTCCCAAGGCTGCTTGCTATCTCTTCAAATCAGAGTGGTAAATTGATTGATTTCGGCGAGTTTAGTTCTTTAGGTTGGATTTGGAATATTCGATTGAGGAGGAATTTGGCGGATTGGGAATTTGAACAGTGGACTAATCTGATGACAATCATTTCTAATATTTGCTTGTCTAAATATGCCAGTGATGCTCAAATCTGGAAAGGGAGAGGGGATGATGTTTATTCTGTTAATTCATGTGTGAAGAGATTTGTTCCTCGGTTTCTCAGGCGAACTCTTTTTGGAAGAAAATTTTGTGGAAAGGATTGGTGCCACCAAGGATTGAGACTTATGTGGCAGGTGGTCCTTCAAAAACTGCCAGTGAGGACTGAACTGGCTAAAAGAGGGGTTTCGGATATTGTAGATCTTTCCTGTCCTTTATGTAATTTGGTGGATGAATCCTCTTCTCATTTATTTTTCTCTTGTTCTGTCGTGTGGTCTTTGTGGAATAAATTTTCGCAGTATTGGAGTATCAATTCGGTCTTTCATGGAAATGCGCAAAACTTTCTTCTAGCTTGGGAAGATCTAAATTTCAGTTCTACTATTTGGAACTTTATTCCGGCTGTTGTTATGTGGACTGTTTGGAAAGTTAGAAATGACATCGTCTTCGAAAGAGGGAAGTTAGATCAAACTAATTTATTTTTCTTAGCTAGAGTTTGCAGATTCGGTCATTTCTTTGGATTCCCTTATCAGTGACCCTTCCCTTGGGGATTCATGTTTCCCTCCAAACAAATCAATTGTCTCTACCATTCCTTGGTCCCCCCTCCTAAGGGCTTTGTCAAACTGAATGTGGATGCAGCTACTAGTTCTGACTAGAAGAGCAGTGGAATTGCGGGTATTCTAAGAGATGCAGAAGGTCTACTTTTAGGTTCTTTCAAAACGACTTCTGGTCCGGGTCCACCTATTCTGATGGAGTTAAAGGCTGTTAAGGAGGGTTTAAATTTCTTTCACTCAGTGAGAGGAGGTATTAAGGGTCGGTTGATTATAGAATCAGATTGTAAAATGGTAGTGGATTGGATTAAGGATGGATCTTGTTGTCCTGTTTTCTATGCCTCCATTGTTAGGGAGTTAGCTGTTAAACTCAAAGAAGTCAAGGGAGTTATTAGATGGGTGGCTAGGACAACCAATATTGAGGTTGATGGGTTGGCTAGGTCTGGTATTGGTTAATTTTACTTTGTTGTTGGGGTATTTTATTTTGGGTTTTTAGGTTATTTAAGGGTTTTATCTTGTTATTGTAAATCTTATGTATCTTTATTAATAAAGTTTAAGGCACTCTTTTCCTCCTTCCTCTTATTAAGGAATTCAATATGAGTTCCTTAATCATGAAGGGGTTTTTTTAATGAGGCCTCAATTCCTATAAAAAAAAGAAGTTCAATGTTCTATTTCTTTATTGTATTTGGAACATCATAGAGGGATAAAATCAATGGTGTTCTGGCAAGAAATGTGGAGTTCTCACAATTGATTATTGACTACCAAAAGAAGCTACGTGAAAGTTCTGAATCTTTTAATGCGGCTGAGGAGAATTCTCGGAAATTGGCAATGGAGGTAACTGTTCTGTTCGACAACCGTTGTCATTATGTCTTGCTGATTTTTATTTTGTGTTTGGCAAGCTTTGTTGTTCCGACTGTTGCGGATGTTTCTGTTTATACCTTTTTGTTCTTAATAGGTATCTATATTGAAACAACAAAAAGAGATGTTAGCAAATGCTGAAAGGAGAGCATGTGATGAAGTTCGCAGCTTGTCAGAGAGAGTTTATCGCCTGCAGGTTTATAGTGTGACTGATTTGGGCTTTATTTCCTTGTTGCTTTTAAACTGGATTTCACTTCTTTAAAAATTGCAATAAAGCTAAAGCAAATGATAGAAAACAACATAATTGACTAAGAAAGAGCAAATGACTAAAATGAAATACCAAGTTTTACATAATTGTTATACACAGAAGTCAAATCATGATCCCCCTCCCTCCTGAAAATTATGTATTGTTTGTGTTTTCTATCAGAACATGATTTTTGTTTTTGCTTCCAAAATTGAAAACCCAAATTTTCTTTTCTTTCACATTTGGTTGGTACCAACAGAAGTTCTATAATTATATGCAGGCTAGTTTGGATACTATACAGAGTGCAGAGGAAGTTCGTGAGGTAACATGACATAATAATATTATTATGAGTGTATATTTGTCCCTTCATCTGTGCGTACTATACAAGTATTTTGGTTTTATCTCCTTGTCCAATTGCTTTCTAGGAAACGAGAGCTTTGGAGAGAAGAAAGCAAGAGGAGTATGTTAAACAAATAGAGGTGTGTCTGGTTTATTTTTCATTATTAAAGATATCTTGTGAAAAATTGGGCTGCAGATGCATCAATTGATGAATGGTCAACTACCATTTTTCTGTTTTATGAAATCTTTTCTACTTTGAAATAAATGCTGACACGCTGCTTTTCATGACCAACTTTTTGGCCCGTCCAAATTTTGTAGAAAGAATGGGCTGAAGCTAAGAAACAGGTACAAGAAGAGAGGGATAATGTTCGTACTCTCATATCTGACCGCGAACAAACTCTGAAAAATGCCATGAAACAAGTTGAAGATATGGGAAAAGAATTGGCTAATGCTTTGCATGCTTGTGCCTCTGCTGAGGCGAGGGCTTCCGTTTCTGAGGTAAGATCATCTGTTAAACTCTATTTGAATTGTTTCACTCCTTTGTTCTTATTTACACTATGAGTTCTATGTTCTTTCCTTTTGCAGTCATTGGAATTTTTTTCTAGTAGAGTTTTTAATCTAATGTTTCTATTAAAATATTTTTATCAGGTTTCTAATAGAGTTTTTAATCTAATGTTTTTATTAAAATATTTTTATCAGGCCAAACTTGCTGATCTGGAGAAAAAGCTTAAATCTTCTGAGGTAATGTTCACTACACTCTTTTGTTGTTTAGAACCATTTATCATATTGTCCTATCGAAGTCAAGAATTTCTTTTATAGTGTTTCTTGTATTATAGATTTCCCATTGGTAGAGTTTTCTCCCGTCCGTAGCTTTGTTGTTTAGAGTTATCTTCTAGGGTTTTCAGCCTCCAAACACTTCGACTGCTTCCTGAAATTGCCCTTCCATATCTTTTAGTGTTGGGGTAAATACTCTTTCTATTCATATCATTATGACCTAATATAGATTTCAATTTTATATTTGAGATCGAACTTGAGTCTCAAAGCACTTTTGTTTATTTTTCTAAGACAACTTTTTGCTGCTTCTTTACCATTTTCTATGCCAATATGTCTTTTTAATTAATTAAAATAGAAAAGGGTTGTTAATTGAATATATTCAAATGGATGTAAATTCAATATCTCCAGGGGTTAAGTTCTGTACAGCTTTGAAAGGTGAGGAAAATGCTTTCCTTTTATGAATGTACAAGGAAATTAATTTGGGGAATACTGTTATTTTTAGCTTGTCAGTGTTTTTATATTCCTATGCTTCAATGATTACGAATTTCTTGTTGCTAGGACATGAAATCAAATGAGGAATTGAAAATTATTTCTAATTAGTTTTAACTTTCCCTGCAATATAATCTCGATCTCTCATTGGTAATGTACATTATTTGGATATTGGTATAAAGGGTTACTTTTTTATTCTTTCCCTCACTGTTTTTTACTGCTTTTGCTTCATCCTCTTTTTCCCCCCTTTTTCTCCATTTTTGGCATCATTTAGTATTTTTCCTACATATCTGATTTGGATTTCTTGTCGACTATTTTCTGGTACTCTGATGCAGGGTATAGATGGTGGTACACCATCCACTATTTCAGCAAATGTGGTTAGTATTTTCAGTTATCAGTTTGGTTGCCTTTAATGATACTCTCACTGAAGTGTATGAATTATGTTGTCTCCAGTGTTCCTTGCTTGTCACATTTATTATGGCCATTCTGGCATTTGATCTTTACCAGACAAAACAGTCATTGGCAACGACTCGTTGCAGTATTTTGTGAATTGTTAGAATAACCAAGCTTTGGTAGTCCAGGGGAAAATTAAGGGAACAAATTGAAAGGAAGTACAGCTATTTTAGGGCAACCCATGAAACTAACATCCAGTGTGCCATTCAAAGGACATAATGATTGATATTAACATTTTTATGAAGGCAATGTTTCCTCCAGAAAAAAGAATGGTTTTGACTCTCTTTGTGCATGCTACTTTGGACTTAGTTGCATACCTCTCCTCGGAACCAAAACGAATTGCAGATCCTTTTTCTCAGTAATACGAGGCTCAAGATTCTGGTGTCATATAGTTTGTTATCAAGTTTGTCTTAAATTGAAACAATATGGGAGGACTAAATTGAAAGGAAGTACAACTATTTTAGGGCAACCCATGAAACTAACATCCAGTGTGCCATTCAAAGGACATAATGATTGATATTAACATTTTTATGAAGGCAATGTTTCCTCCAGAAAAAAGAATGGTTTTGACTCTCTTTGTGCATGCTACTTTGGACTTAGTTGCATACCTCTCCTCGGAACCAAAACGAATTGCAGATCCTTTTTCTCAGTAATACGAGGCTCAAGATTCTGGTGTCATATAGTTGTTATCAAGTTTGTCTTAAATTGAAACAATATGGGAGGACTTTTGTGGAAGAAAATTTTGTGGAAAGGATTGGTGCCACCAAGGATTGAGATTTTTATGTGGCAGGTGGTCCTTCAAAAACTACCAGTGAGGACTGTACTGGCTAAAAGTGGAGTTTCGGATATTGTAGATCTTTCATGTCCTTTATGTAATTTGGTGGATGAATCCTCCTCACTTATTTCTCTCTTGTTTTGTCGTGTGGTCTTTGTGGAATAATTTTTGCAGTATTGGAGTATCAGTTCGGTCTTTCATGGAAATGCGCAAAACTTTCTTCTAGCTTGGGAAGATTTAAATTCCGGTTCTACTATTTGGAACTTTATTTCGGCTGTTGTTATGTGGACTGTTTGGAAAGCTAGAAATGACATCGTCTTCGATAGAGGGAAGTTGGATCAAACTAATTTATTTTTCTTAGCTAGAGTAAGGCTTGCATCTTGGTTCCTAGCTAAGTTTGCAGATTCGGCCATTTCTTTGGATTCCCTTATCAGTGACCCTTCCCTTGGGGATTCATGTTTCCCTCCAAACAAATCAATTGTCTCTACCATCCCGTGGTCCCTCCCTCCTAAGGGCTTTGTTAAATTGAATGTGGATGCAGCTACTAGTTCTGACTGGAAGAGCAGTGGAATTGCAGGCATCCTAAGGGATGAAGAAGGTCTACTTTTAGGTTCTTTTAAGACGGCTTCTGGTCCGGGTCCACCTATTTTGATGGAGTTAAAGGCTGTTAAGGAGGGTTTAAATTTCTTTCACTCAGTGAGAGGAGGTATTAAGGGTCGGTTGATTATAGAATCAGATTGTAAAATGGTAGTGGATTGGATTAAGGATGGATCTTGTTGTCCTGTTGTCTATGCCTCCATTGTTAGGGAGGTGGCTGTTAAACTCAAAGAAGTCGAGGAAGTTATTAGATGGGTGGCTAGGACAGCCAATATTGAGGCTGATGGGTTGGCTAAGTCTGGTATTGGTTAATTTTTCTTTGTTGTTGGGATATCTTATTTTGGGTTTTTAGGTTGTTTGTAAGGGTTTTATCTTATTATTGTATTTTATGTATCTTTATTAATAAAGTTTAAGGCACTCTTTTCCTCCTTCCTCCGATTTAGGAATTCAATATGAGTTCCTTAAATCATGAAGGTGGTTTTTAATGAGGCCTCAATTCCTATCAAAAAAAAAATATGGGAGGACTTTTCATTCTTGACACATATTTTTGTGCCTTCTCATGTCCATTTTAACTTTTGAAATATGCATTACATGTAGCATTGTCATTTTGGATTAAAACTCTGACTCATTTATTTTAAAGCTTCCATATTGTAGAGCCTCAGTTCTTTTTATGAATTGCATATTTATGTGTTGCCATGTTACAACCAAGTATGTTACATAGAACTTGATATGGAAAAAGCTGAAGGTTGATTCATGAAGCAGTCTGAAACTTGAAGAACTAATACCAAACAAGGGCTAATCAAAACTTTGCGTGAATTTATTCATGGAATCTGGACTTCATTGATAAAATCGTTTTTTCATTTGAATTGTGACTGCATTTGATGAAGACTTTTGTGATTTGCAATTCTGTTCATTTTTTTCTCCCGAGTTTTTATGCTGATGAATTGAATATTTTGTTGGTTTCCCTGGTTTGGATAAATGTCTGCAGGTGGCAGACTTGCCAATGACAAATGAAGAGATGGAGAAACTAAAGGAGGAGGCAAAAGCTAACAGGGATCACATGCTGCAGGTTTTTTGTCTAAATTTTTAGTATTTCAGTTTTTAGTATGTGGTAGAATTTGTCATAGTATGACATGTTGCTTGCACTTGCAGTATAAGAACATAGCACAAGCCAATGAAGATGCATTGAAGCAAATTGAACTGGCACACGAAAATTTTAAGATTGAGGTATTTGCAGTATTTTATCTTTTTGCAGATGAATGTTTTATGACTGGTTAGCTGGTATGCTATATAGATATGTGTGTGTGTGAATATATAATATTAAATATTCATTTTAATTAATTTGCAGGCTGAAAAGTTGAAGAAATCTTTAGAAGCAGAGCTTGTTTCACTTAAACAGAGGGTTTTTGAACTTGAGAATGAATCCTCTTTGAAATCAGAGGAAGTAGCTGCTGCAACTGCAGGAAAGGAAGAAGCTCTTTCTTCTGCATTAGCAGAAATTACAAGTTTAAAGGAGGAAAATGCAGTTAAAAGGTCGAAATTTTCTGCTGTATTTTACATGGTTACTTATTTTAGTTATCCATGAATTGATTTCTGACATTTTTGAGCTTTGCATATAGTTCTCAAATTATGGTACTGGAGACTCAAATTTCTTCTATCAAAGAAAACCTGGATAACGAGCATGAAAAGTGGCGTGCAGCTCAAGCCAATTATGAAAGACAGGTTTCTTCAATGCACACAAAATTGGCTACGACAATATCTACTTTGTTAATCAATGAACTCATGTTGTAGGGGTGTAAAAGAATTGGGTCAAGCCTAATTTTCCTTTACACAAGCTCTGCCATAGTTAATTTTTTGAGCTGAGTAATAAAGGACCTCGTATTGAATCATGTGATTGAAATGAAAGATCTTTCTTGCGTTGATGATATCCTTTTTGAACAGGTTATTCTACAATCAGAGACCATTCAGGAGTTGACTAAAACTTCGCAAGAATTGGCTTTACTGAAAGAGGAAGCATCTGAGTTGCGTAAAGTGGCTGATGCCCATAGAATTGAAAATGTATGTTATGTGTCTTCCTCTCTTTCCTCCTTTTCTTTTTCTTTTTGCATGTTGAAAATTTTTGCCTTCTTTTTTTGGGTTGGAAATGAGCGCATCTTTGTAAAGATTGGCTGTTGTGGCTCATGTTGTCTTAGTAGTTAGAGCTTGAACTTGTTTGGGTTTAAGTGGTTTGAATGTTTAGTTCAAGCTCAGCTGAAACAGAAACAGAAAATCACATGAACTAAATGCAAAAACCATGACTTGTATAATGAATCCACGCTTAACATGAAAGCTTTTTTGCACACCATTAAAATGCTGGATATAAATACGTGTAAACATGTGTTTCAAATTTTAATGATTTAGAGTTGAAATTACTTTCCTTCAGTTGACATTTTTCATGTTACATTGTACAGTTCACTAACGTACATATTTTAAGCTTCATCAAGTGATTTTATGATTTAAAGTTTTTTGGTTGAAAATTGTATGTTGCTAAATTCGTTGATATGACTTTGATAACTCGAATATGCTCTTTCCAGACTGAACTTAAGGCTAAGTGGGAGATGGAGAAAACAATTCTTGAGGAATCCAGGAAAGAAGCTGAGAAGAAATATGATGAACTTAATGAACAGGTCAGTGTTGGTCTGACCGATTGTTTATTTCGTTTTGTTCTTGCTCCTTAGTCCTTTCACTGCACTTATTCCTTTCACCAGGTTGTATAATTCAACTCATGAAACATAGTTCTTTTCCTCATTAATCATTATTTCCAACATTATATTTAGAGTGTAACGTGTTTAGGATAATGTTTTCATGCTAATTTGAACAATATGGCAATACAGTCACACCAATTGCATGTTTGACTGCTCAGATGTTAATTCAGATTCTAATCATCGGTTTCTAATGTTGTTGTGTACTGCCTCGAATTATCTGTTCGATTGTTGTAATCAATGCGAGTGGCATTGTTTGGCACTTGGAATATATTTTCCTTGAGCATAGGTCATTCTAGTAAAAGAATTCAACCATGAGATGCATTTTAGTTTTATGCTATTATTTTGTCCCCCCCCAAAAAAAATAAAAGAAAGAAAATAATGTATTTGACTATATCCTCTCTTTTTTCCTACTCTAGAGTATATTTTGTATTTTCATTTTAATGCAAAAGGCTAGAAAATGATGTTTTGTGCGACTTGATATGATCCTCTATCTTGTGTTCTTCAGAACAAGATATTGCACAGTCGTATTGAAGCTATGCATATTCAGTTGGCTGAGAAAGATCGTGGTTCTATTACGGATTCACATGGTGATTCTGGTATGCAGAATGTAATTAATTACCTCCGACGGACGAAAGAAATCGTAAGTTATCTTTTTTTTTAGACTTTCTCCTTTTGTCTTTCCCTTGCTGACTTTTATTTTCTGATATTCTGTTATTTAGGCAGAAACAGAGATATCTCTATTGAAGCAGGAGAAGCTACGGTTGCAATCACAAGTTAGTAATTCCTTTTCATAATACTAACTGAATTGCATATTCGATGTTTTGTGGCATATTATGTTGTAGGCATATTATGTTGTAGTCGGTTCTAGTTTCCTACCTACCTATCGTGTTTTTGTACTTGGTTCAGAAACAAAGAAATTTTCAGGTTGTTTTCCATTTTTTTCTTTTAAAGATATTTCCCCCACTTGATGGCATAACAAATTTGTTTTATTTTTTTACCTGATATCCTTACTTTAATTGCCTTTGATCACATCTACAATGTAGATGTGGTTGGTTCAAATTTGTTGTTTGCTCAGAAGAGGATTCTGCAACGACTTTGTATATAAATATAGTGTTGGCTTCATAGGAGAATAGCAATTCTGTTTTATCATGAAGTTGTCTAAATGAGCCAAGTTTCCTTGCATTTATTTTGTAGCTTGAGAATGCTCTTAAGGCAGAAGCAAATGCCAAAGCCACACTTAATGCTGAGCGTTCCAATTCAAGAGCAGCTTTGATGACCGAGGATGGGATCAAGTCTCTACAAGACCAGGTTTGTCTTCTTGCCAAAATAGTGACGTTAGGGGCATTCAGCTTTTTTCTTTATATAGTTTTCTTTTCCTCCAAAATTTGTTCATATCATGTCAATTTTAGTACCCTTTTCAGAGACCTAGCATTTATTAGTTTATCCTGATGTAATAATGTTCCCTATTTCTTTTAATATTGCCCTTATGGAATAGTTTTGTTCCAAAAGACCTGATAGTTAATGTAATATTTGCAGATTAGGGAAATGAATTTGCTCCGGGAAAGCAACATGCAGCTTAGAGAGGAGAACAAGCACAATTTTGAGGAATGCCAAGTATGTCTTCGGAGGAAACCTCAATTGCTTATAGAAATTACGTGAGGTAGCTCATAAAAGTAAGATTGAATCAGAAGCCCTAGAGAGTCGGCTGATGGAGAAGCAATTTGAGCTTGAAACTTCTAAAAGGGAAATTGAAAAGCATGAGGCAGAGAGAGAAATCTTGGAAAAGAGGGTCTCTGAGGTAAGAACACAGGTTAAAAGTGTAGACTGCGGTTTTTTTCTTTCTTGCACCATTTTAACATTTACTTCTTCTGTGAAGTTACTTGAGAGATGTAGAAATATTGATGTGGAAGAGTATGATCGTCTGAAAAATGATGTTCAGAAGAAGGAGGTAAGATGAACTTTTATGAACACATATCACTTTGCTATTAATAATTGAAATGAAATTTGTGAATGTAAACTTTAGGATCACATTGATATGGTCCTTGTAAGATATCTAGATATGGGACGATGCAAGACAAAATCAGAATTAGCGTGGGGAAGATTAGGAGTTTGAGAAGATATTTTCTTTTGCAGATCTATGTTGATTTGTTAACAGAGAACCTTCAGTCTTTTTGAGTTAAAATATGCAAAATCTGGAGTATTTTCTGCATAACTTTTATTGAATTCAAATGACCTTAAAACAAGGAATGACATGAAAAAGTTGAGGCATGTCCTCCTACTGCTGCTGGAATGGGATATTGGAGGGATGTCCTAACTAGAAAACATGGAAATAGGGTACTAGCATATTCTTTTATTTTCCTGGGTAAAACGTTGGTAGACTAAAAGGGTGCTAGCACATTCTTTTAATTCTTAGTTAAGAGTTATTCCTTTGTTCACCTTTTGCTTATTGCTATTAATCTATTTTTAACCCTTTTGAGTCATTTATGTTGTAAAGGTTTCACTATATGCTGTTTGTTATTTTTTTTTTATAGGAATAGGAGGCCTCATTAAAACCTCCCTCATAGATAGCCCTTTCCCAACAGAAAGGATCCACTAGTGGAGGGAGGAAAAGAGTGCCTCGTTTTATTACTGAACCAAAATTACATAAAACTTAACAATTACACCAGAAAACCAGACATAAAACTTAACTCCACCTACTTGAAAAACCTACTAACTGGGAAGGAAAATAACAAACAACTATAGTCTTACAATCAACCAATCCCCATCTTTGCTAAACTATCTGCCTCCCCATTACAAGCCCTTGGAATCAACCTAATTAACAACACCTTTTCAGAGAAGAGTGATAGAATCTCTTTAACTAGAGGCAAAAAGAAAACAGGTGCCAAAGCCGGAGAGTGGACCCACTCCACTGCTGACTTACAATCACTCTCAACAATCAACCTAGTGACAGAAAACCAACATGATGCCAAAAAGATTTCAATGCCTCTTTTAATAGCCTTTAACTCAGCAACTGGTGGGGAACCTTGTCCAATATTCTCTGAAAAAGTCAGAAGAGTGCAACTATTCCAGTCCCTTAGGATACCTCCAATACCTCCAACCGAGTCATTTAACCTTACCGCTCCATCGACATTCATCTTCAAAAAATCAACAGGGGGTGGTAGCCAGCAAAGCACAGAGCATTCCTTAGATTCAGAAACCGAAATTCCATCTGCAAGTGAAGGATCCCCAATGAGCAAATCCTCCTGTATAGGAGTTTTAGGATACTTGGCTTTAAACCACTTAGATAACCTAAATCTTACAATGAAAAACAGAGAGAGCCTGTCAAGAGATAATCCTTCAAACACAATTTCATTCCTTACTTTCCAAATAAACCAAAAAATGACTCCCGGGATAAACTTCCAAATCAATGAATCCACCCTCAAATTCCCCCATGAGATAAGTAAAGGAGGGTCCTTTGGTAAAACTACAGATAAATCTCAAAAGCTTGCTACCTTATTCCATAATTGCCAAACTACATTACACGTAATAAACAAGTGTTGCACTGATTCCTCATGCTTCTTACAAAATGGGCAAAGGATATCTTCACCAAGGGACATTCCTCTGTTAACCAACTCCAATTTTACTGCCACTTTCTGATGAGCTAACTGCCAAAGGAAGGCTTCAACCCTTGGTGGGGACAGTCCCAACCACACCCCCTTTAACCACAGATCAGTACTCCCAGCTTCCTTTCCGAGTGCACTTCTGCAAGATTTGACTGAGAATAGTCCATCCCCACTAGCTGACCACGAGAGACTATCTTCTACAGAATCTGAAATTTTTATATCCTTCAATTTCAACATCAAATCCATCCATTGATCCAATTCCCAATCAGACAAATTCCTCCTAGTGAAAATATTCCACACCCAACAATTTGAATCATAACTGCCAAAATCAGCAACCTTGCCCCATTTGTTAGGAGATAATGCATAGATTCTCGGGAAAATATTTTTTAGAGTAACCTCTTCCATCCACGGATCAATCCAAAATAAAATAGATTTTCCATTACCAACTTGCAGCATCGAATATGATCTAAGACAATTTCCCACCGAATCATTCTTCGAAAAGTTGTTGCCAATACTTCTCAAATTCCAAGAAGATCTAGGAGAAATAACCTTGCTGATAGACATAGTGTTGCAACTGATCTTGTGCTGCTACATAACACTCTTTTCCATACGGAATTCTTTTCGTTTGCAAACTTCCACACCCATTTCCCCAATAGTGCTCGATTCGTAAGATTCAAATCAAGAACACCAAGGCCACCACTGTTCATAGGTTTGCAAACTGAACTCCAATTAACCCAGTGAATCTTCCTCTTACCCGTGCTGTCACCCCATAGAAATTTGGCCATTAAAGAATTTAACTTCTTGCCTACTTTGCAAGGCATTTTAAAGAATGATAAGAAAAATATGGGCAGGGAAGATAACACAGACTTCGATAGGACTGTCCTACCAGCCAAAGAAAGAGAAGAAGCTTTCCACCCGGCTAGTTTAGAATTAAATTTTTTAAAAACGGCTCCCATAAAGCTTCCGAATTCTTCCTAGCACCGAGGGGAATATGCTGTTTGTTATAAGGCCAAAACATGATTGGTATCATGTTCCTTACAAAAAACATGTAGAATGTTCTTTCTGGAAATGGAACTTTTATGTGTCAGGATGAGGTCCTTCAATGACTTGATTGTTACATTGTATTTGAAGTTCTTTCTAACTTTTTCTCAGAAATTGCAACTTTAATTGTAAACAAAGGGCACCATATTAATTTCTTTTGTAACTTAATATTTCAGTATCCAACAGTAAACATTGGACCCTAAAGAAATAATGTAAGTTGGCCAACAGTAGAAAAAACAAGATTTTGCATGATTTATCAGAAAGAAATGGACAACTTTAGGTTCATTATCTATATGAGTTTTCATATGTATTCTTGTATAAAAAACAAGATTGTGCATGTTTTGTAAGAAATAAATGGACAATATTAGGGTTTATTATCAAAATTATATCTTAAGCTTATTTTATACAAAAACACATATAGCTATTGTTCCTTAGGCAAGTCTTTTCTTTTCGTCTTGTGTATCTAGTAATATAAAGGATTTTAGCACCTAGAAAGCATTTTGTGCTTTTTACAGCACTGGAAATTTATGCTGAAAACAGCATGCTCTAAGAATTCACTTATATACTAAAAGGAGAGAACGACATTGGAAACGGTATGCTGATTTTATGGTTTCTTTAGTGACTGATCAGCTAGTCTATTGATCTGTAATAGACGGTGGTTGTAATTTTCTAGTAGCTTGTGTCGTTGCTTTTTTATTTGATTTCTGATGTGTATATTATTTTTCTCTAGGAAAAGTTGAAAGAAAAGGATGCTCAGATAGAAGAGATGACAAACCTTCTGTCTAAGAAGCAGGATTTAATATCAAAATTGGAACAAGATCTTGCAAACAGCAAGTCGGAGCTCAATGAGAAGGATAAAAAGTTGAATGATATTTTGCAGTTTGAGGTACTACTGTCCTCTTCTCTGTATTTTAAGCCATCAGATTTTGGGCTTCATTTTTTAGGTGTAAAAAGTATTTCACTGCATTATGTCTTGTGTAGGCTAATCTGAAGTCAGATATGGAGAAGCAGAAGAAGCTTGTCCTTCAATTTAAGGTGGTTATAAAGTGGAAAGCATTACTTATATGCATCTTCTTGCCGATTCTGACTACAGTGCTTTAACTAGAGTTTTGAATATCGCATTTTGGGTTCTGGTTAGTGTATTTGCATAACATTTTCTTTAATTCTCTCAGAGGAGAGCTGAGAATTTTGCAAAAGAAAAGGATCAAATGAGCAAAGAAAATCAAGCTCTTTCGAAACTGGTGGAGGAATTGAAACAAGGTAGAGAAGTTCTCCTACTATTATTTAATATTATATAGGCATCTTGTTGTTAACATTTGGATTCTTCAAAGTAGGTAGGAGGCCTAGTAACGATACTACTGGTGATCAAGTCATGAAGGAAAAAGAGGAGAAAGACACTAGAATACAGGTGCTTAAGCTGATTTTTCCTCTGTTTCCTGTTCTTGTTTTCCGTGTTTGTCTATAATATTTTTCTTCCACAATATTTGCACAGATTCTGGAGAAAACTGTTGAGAGACAGAGAGAAGAGTTGAAGAAAGAAAAGGATGAACATCAGAATGAGAAAACAAAACGTATCAAGTGTGAACGGACTATTATGGAGGCGGTCAGGAAAAGTGAAAAGGTTTGTATATTTGTTCTTAGAGCATATTTGCCTCATATAATGCAAGGGTTCTAAGTGGTTAGTATACTTGTTAGATATTTGAACTCAATTTGGTCATTGTCACGCAAAGCTTGAGCTTGAGTGACGGAGCATAATTGAATGAGATCAGAAAACATGGTTCCTTTCTCGAGTTGAATACAAGCTAGAAAATATATTAGTTTGAGTTGAGTAAACCCTAAGCAGAACATAGTATTGTGCTGTGAATTTCTCCGTTTTAAGATCAGTAACACTTTTGCCTTTAATTTCACTCTTGTTTATGTTGTTTCCTGTGTGGTTGCCTCTTAATGTTTTACAGGGAAAAGCAACCGTTTTAAGTGAGCTTGAGAAGTACCAACTGGCTTTGAAGCGTATCTCAGAAGAACTAGAAAAGCTCAAACAAGCAGAGGGCAATCTTCCTCAGGTAATATAAGTTGCAGGGTTTTATCAGTTATTAGTTTTCTCAATTTGTTTCCGTTAGTAAAAGGGTCTGGTTCCTTCTGTTGGTCATTTTGGCATGTCAATTTGCTCCATGTACTTTATTTCCTAACATTGCAAAATAAAAGGAAGAAGTGGTGAAAAAAGTACTTTCTTTTGTCAAGAGGAAAGATAACTCACATTCACACAAAAGTAAGACATTTTTCAGTACTTCTCTTTTTTCTTCCCCATTTCCCCATATTTATTAATGGCGAATTAGAGATTCATCTGTTGCTTGTTTTTCTTTGTTAATTGCTTTTTAAAAAGAGGTACAGGGCAAAAAACCTATCTTTCCTTGCTCCCATGATTTTAGCACTTTTGTATAACTGGTATTTTTGTGTCTTGAAGTTGGTTTAGAAAAGAAAGAGGGACAAATACGACCTTTTTAATGCCTACTTGTATTAAATACTTTCCAGCATTGGTCTTGTGAATTATAATTCATGTTTCTTGCTGGATTTAACTTTACAGGGTACCTCAGTGGTTCAGCTTCTTTCTGGCACCATCTCTGATGATCATGCTTCCCTGTATCTGTCTGCTGCTGAGGATTTTGAGAGAGTAGCACGTTCAATTCTAACTGAGCTTGGAACTGGCGCCAGTTCTGGAGACGTTCTTTCAGTAGACACTTCTGCTACCGCCTTAATAGGTGTCTCTTCTGAAATTATGGCTTCTTTACTTCTCTCTCTCTCTCTCTTCTCTTGGTGTGATAAGCTCGTTTCTTTTTCAGGCACAGCAGTTCCGGATCAGGGCCCTGTTAATACATCCTCAACAGTACCTGTAACAAGTCAGCATCAACCAGCTAAAGCATCTGAAGAGAGGAGATCTATTGTACCTAAAACCAATACTGAAACTCGTAAAACGGGGAGGAAGCTTGTCCGGCCACGTTTTGTCAAAGCTGAAAGAGCGGCAAGGTGATGTGGAGATGTCAGAAGCCACATCACATGATGTTGATGCTCAAGGGACTCAACAATCAGCTCGCAAGCGTCAGGCTTCTGCCACAACTGAGTTGAGTGAGGATGTACCAGTTCCTGGGGAGACTAGTGCGGATGTGGTTACACCTGCTCTTAAAAAATCAAAGGGTCCAGATTCAGGACAAGAGGCTGCTGAAGTTCAAGCTGCTACACTCACGGAAAATCTCAGTGCTCCACAAGTAACTGAAGAAGTTGATGAGACTGTCGGTGATATAACTCTAGGTTCAAATGAGGAAGTTGTTGATGTGGAGAAGGAAGAGGCTGACACAATGGAGGAAAACTTAGAAGAGTCAAAAGAACCCCAGGTAGATGGGACGAGTGAGGTTGGACTGCAGGAAAATAAAAACTTGTCAGACGAGGTCCTTGATAAGCCAATTGGAAACGAGATGGTAACTGATGAAGAACCAAAGAATCTAGCTGTGCAAGAAAGCCAACAGCCCCCTCTAGAAACTGAGAGTGAGAAGGAAGAAGGCGAACTGGACCCTGAGATAGCAGCAGATACTGAAGGAGGTACCGATGTGCATAATGTAGCGGGATCCTCTGATGTTGGTGGGACAGAGCTAGGTTCATCTCCTCTGACTTCACCTTCAAGGGTTGAAGATGAAGCTCTAGTTACTGCAGCAGAAGGCGATAACTCTCCTGACACTGTAACTGATGATAAGAATGATGAAGGTGACATCGGTGAAGAGACCATTGGTGAAGGATTTGAAAAGACCAATGATGGTAACGAGCAGAGTGCGGTAGACACAGATCCAATGCCTGAGGCTGCCCCTGCTGCTGCTGTTGTTACCTCTGGCACTAATGAGAGTGGTGCAACAAGCGGTCCACAAGAGGGTGAGGTCTCAAAAAACACGGGTAATTCAAGCGGTACAGCTGCAGCCGAAGCAGAGGATGTGAAACAGACGTCTCCCATAAGCGGGAGCGGAAGTGGAAGTAGTGCAACCTCAACATTGGTAAATCTTCAAGAGAGGGCCAGGGAAAGAGCCATGCTAAGACAGGCAGGAGTAGTCGGTTCTTCTACCACTTCAAGTAGAGGTCGTGGAAGGGTTACGATTCGTGGTCGAGGTACCAGGGGACGAAGTGTGCGCGGTGGACGGGCAGGTGGAGCAGGGACACAAAATCCTGATCAACAGTGAACTATTTTTACTATGCCGGAGCCTGGAGAGGTCAGAAAGAGGATGAGATTAGAGGATGCACTCTGCTTTTTTTTCTTCTTTTTGAATCTTTTAAAGACATTTTTAACGTCATAGCATGCTTTATGTTATGTTTCGATGGGTATGATATTGAAATGGATTAACACCTAACGCTCATCTCTGTTATTCTGGTAAAAGCTTTCCGAACACTGAAAAATTGTTTCCAACATTTTGTTTCCGAACACTGTTGTAGCGCTGAAGTTGATTCCATTATCGTAAAACTTATTCGACGTCTTCTACTGAGTTACGGTTCGTAACTTGACTATTTTTCACTTCTATATTGATTATTAAAGTTTGATTTTTTTAATTTAACCATTGTACTTTTGGAAGTTCAATAATCAAAATTGAAAACTTTTTTCAGTGATCAAAATAAAAGCGAGAAAACAGTTGGATTCGTAATACTTGCGTTTCACTGAACAGGACAAATGCCATGAGCATATGAAAAGAATTAAGGATTCGTAAGGAGAAAGGAGAGAGATTGGGGATTTGACAGCAAATGAGAAATTCATTGTAGTTTGAAAATAATATACAAGATAGTTTTTAGGAAATAGAGGTGGATCATAAAAATAACTCAAATGTCAATATTTTTCCTTAATCAAAACTTTTTTTTAATAACACATTAAAAAGTGAATAATTTCAAGATACAAGTAGTCCTGAATTTTTTTTCTGATGTAAAGGTTCAGACAAGGATACAACCACATAGATAAAAATATCACTAGTTCAATTTAACTCAATTATCAAATAAATTATTCTCTTCACACTCTTGATTGATAAGTTTGGACATCAGGTAATATAATATTTTTCTTCGACTTTTATATCTTATAATTTTAGAATAATTTAATTTATTTGAGGTTTTAGCTAAAAAGTTATGCAATTTTAATTTTATAGTTCATGTGGACGCTTTACTGAGATGTTGTTATTGCTGACTGTATACCGCATGAGATTCGGTTGACTAATGCCCCCGTGTACATTGTGTCAGTCCTACTGATCTTGTATGAGATAGTCGAGTGGCATCCTACCGAGCACATCCTTCGATAATTTAACTATGTCCAATCGGTTCCGCCACATCCACCTTGCTTGGATGAGTTGTATCGATTGACGCAACAAGGGAAGATGAAAATTAATTGGGCGGACCATAATACGGTGTATCTGAACGAGTGGGTCCAAAGATTTGAGAGGATACCCATGACTCAACCCATCTTCGACCACAGCGTGACATACGATTATATGTGGTGGTGCCAAGAATATGAGATGCTTATGTTGGAATGGTTTTCAGGTTAATATAATGTTTTAATTTTGCATTATTTATTTTGATTTGTTTATTGGTAAGTTGTCAATTTTATTTACTCTTTTTACGAATGAGTTTTAGAACAAAATAACAAGATTGGGCTGCAATCAAGAACTACAACATACGTCATTTCGTCACGTCAACTGTGAAAAAACTGATGGGATAAGTACATCACTGAATGTCTCCACAAGAAGCAGAGATGTAATTGGAAGGTTCGTGTATCACGGTTGAAAACGATGAACAACTTTTGGAAACTCACAAAATACGTCCAACCACATATATGCACCGCCAACATCCTGAATCAAGATCATCATAACTTGGATTTGCACGTGCTTTCTTAAGTCTTCATTCTGCTGCTCAAATCAAATTCACTTACAGTTGCAACCTATATTGCTTTAGTTACATCCCTATACGGGTTACACAGTTGACTACCACAAAGCATGGTATGCAAGGTATCAGGCCCAACAAAACTTGTTCGGCCAATCGGAAGAATCATACAATGAATTGCGACCATTGCTTAAACTGATACAGAAACACATTTCTGGAACACTTGTGAAATTGGAAACAATCTCGGCGTACGAAAATGATCGTGTTGTACAAGGTGTCTACCAATTCTACCGGCTCTTTTGGACTTTTCCGCAATGCATTAATGCATTCCGAAACTGCAAGCTGATTGTTGAAATCGACGACACTTGGTTATATGGTCGATACACTCAAATAATGTTATTGACGGTTGCATAAGACGACAATAGAAAAACTATTCCCATCGCATTCGTAATTGTCGAAAAGGAAGATATCGACTCTTGGGAATTCTTCCTTACGAACTTACAAACATATGTTCTATCACATGTGATGCATGATAGAGATGATGAGATTTTTCTTATTTCTGACAGAGGCGCAGGTATCAAATACGCACTCCAGCATATGGGTCTGTCTTGCCAAACCCCCAATATTTATCACCGATACTGTTTACGACATATTATCGCAAACTATTTCCAAAAGTTCAAGAGTCAAGATGAGTGTCTAGTGGTGCATCGAATGGGTATGTCTTTCACCCTTTTTGGTTTACCATATCTTTACAAAAATTATTTCAAATTAATTGTTCCACTTTTTATTTATAGGTTACACAACGTGAGTTTGAGGACCTAATGCATGAACTAAGACACATGAATTATGTGGGCTTCAACTACCTCGCTAGAATCTCGAAGGAGAAATGGCTTCGATCATTTGATGGGGGTAGACGGTACGGTCACATGACAACGAACTTGGTTGAGACAATAAATTTATCCCTAAAGGGAGTGTGCCATTTGCCTATAACGTACGTTGTCAAAGCGACATTATCAACTATCAACACTTTTCATAACCTTGGGAAGGCAAGCAACTGACTGGATGGCAGGTGAGTGTCATATGTTTCTCTCACGAAATGTCATTATTCAATGTATCAGAATTTGCGAGGCCATTGGAAGGCATACAACACAATGCATACGTGTTTAATTTACAAGAAAAAACATGCGAGTGCGGATTCTTCCAAACTTTCAAATACATGTGTACGCACACCATTACTGCTGCTGCTTCTGTTCGGGTACCCTACATGAGATTTGTTGATCGGGTTTACTTACTTGAAACTATATTCAAGGTTTATGAATACGAGTTTCCTCCCATTGGAAATGAATGGGATCAATAATAAGCTGATGATGAACCTACAATACGGCAAAATTATGCACTATGACGAAAAAACTGGTCAACTTGGATTTTTTGTGACGAGGATTTGGTTGAACTTCAAGAAAGAATCGGACAACTGAAATTATGCTCTATATGTAGGAATACCGGACACGAAAAAAAATGACCCAATCGCTCAGGCCCACGTATCAATTAAATGGGCTTTTTGCATTATTTCTTTTTTAATTAACAACACATATTACTTAGTTTTCAATTTCTTTTGATTCTTCATGCACCAAATCATGCATTTCAACCTTTTCCAACACGATTTTTAACCCCATTAAAATTATCGTATGTGGCCAAATTAGCCTTAACATAAATATAAGTTGCAATATTATACCTCTAAGCATATAAATTCTGAAATCACTCATATTTACAAGTCAGAACTAACACTCTAATATGTATATCAAATCATTTTTTCTTCTTTCTTCACAAAACCATGATTTTTAACAATTTTCAACGTTATTTTTTCCCCGCTTGAAATTTCTTATATATGATGATATTATAGTCACCTTAAGGATAAATTACAACACTACGCATTTATAATTAAAATTTTAAAAAATTTAGTTTTCTACCCGAAAATAGTATCCGAACAAGGCCATGGATACTAAAGGGAGGTTAGAGAATCTATTGTTCTCACGCTTTGCATGTCGCGAGGTCCCCTATAAATCTCACGATATTTTAGATCATAAAGGCTACCTCACGCTTCGTAATGCGCAGTGCAAGGTCATTTTATCTAATTGTTTTATTGGCTTACCTGAGTGCGCCCACGTCAGATGTATCTCGCGTGTTGGAGGGTGCGAGGATTTAACATGTTGTTTGCAGGCCGCGAGGTTGTCCAATGTGGACGATTTAGGTGTTATTCTTCCAAATAATTTCTGGAATGTCATATTTCTTTAAATAATTATTTATTTGATATTTTTAATATAAAATTACTCGTTAGCAATACGTGATGATCGGGGATATATTTTTATTAATTTAAATTTATTTAATTAAATAAATTTTCTATCCAATCAGGAGGTGACATATGTCCCACCCGATTGGATAAAAAATAAAAAGGATGAAATTTGCTCTTGAGTGGAATTGAATCTAGGACCTAATGGATGGATAATAATGCCCCAATCACTGCACCAAACATCACCAATTGTATATTAGTTACAACAAATGTTATTTATCCTTTTAAAGCTTGATAATGGAAGAAATAGAAATAAAAAAATTAGAATAATTTTTAATATTTAATTTAAGTTAATTTATTAATAAATTAATTACTTCTACTTATAAAAAAATATTTTTAAATACTTTACGTCAAATAAACAGAAGTTCATTTATTAATAGATTATTAAAAAATATTTTTCAAATACTTTCCATCAAATAAAGAGAAGTTAGTTAATAAATAGATTATTAAAAAATATCGAAAAAATATTTGAATCAATTTTTTTTAATAATTTTTTATAATAAGTAGTAATGAATTTATTAATAGATTAACTTGAATCAAATATTAAAAAAAATTAAATTAATAAAAATCCTCCAATTATGTATTGACATGTGTCATGCTCCTGTGCTAATACATGTCAAATCTTGATTGAATGATTAATTTATTAAATTTAATTTAATTTATGATCAAATTGAGAGAATATATAAATATTAAGAATTAAATGTAACAAATTAAGTAGTTAAGTGATGTGATTGACAAAATTGAAAGATCGGTGGCAAAAGTAAAAGGACTAAATAGTTAAGTGGTTAACTGAGTAGTTTACCCTAATAATAATTACATAAACTTGTCTCAATATTATATATAATTTTAAAATACTTCACTTAAAGTGAGGTAGAATTTTATTCTTATAGCATCTAAATATAATTTTAAAAGTAACTGATTTATTTATTTATTTTATAGTTAAAAGTAAAGGGAAATGAATAAAATAAATAGAAAATACACATTAAATGACAATAAGAGTATAATCATCTTTTTTTTAAATGTACTTAATAAATAAATCTCAAAAATGGTATATGAGATTTTCTTTAAACTGAGAGGATGAATGTGTATTTAAAAAAACTACAAGAGGCTAAGTAAATTTTCTTTAGATTATTGAGTTGTTTTCCCTTGCTGCTTTAGATTCTCTTGTAATAGCCATCAATTGCAAGGTTTGTGCTATGCAAATTCC